GGAAAAAATATGCAAAAGCATACAAGTCCAAATACTATACAATATATAAATGATAACAGTATTCTAAATGTAGTCCATCAAGATTTTAAAAATATTTTTTTCTCCAGTGATACTTAAGATATTTTTTAAAAATGTCTAATAACTTTTCAAGTATTTTAAGACTTAAAACGCGACTGTAGTAAATTTAATTAGTTGTGTGTTTATTTATTTAACGAATCATAAATATTCTGCTGGAGCTATACAATTTTGTTGGAATTAATAAATAATAAATTATTGTTGATATAAAGCCAAATAAGCACTTCCTGCATCGTATAAAGTAAAAGAATTCGGGTGTAAAAAGATTTTATAGGTACAATGACCGATTTAATTACAATTTGTATGGTATAAGTTCAAACTAAATTTAATTTTAACAGTTTCCTTTCCAATATAATTAATTACACAACGTGTTCAAAGTCATTGAATATTATAGAAGATAGACTAGCATTTTATATTGTTTAAATATCGGAATAAATATATATTATTATCGTCTACTTAAGTTGTGGTTGAAATGCATATTTTATTTAGTAATATTATGACATTATATTTTGCTTGTGAAGCGCAATACTACATATTCCTATTTATACCTGCATAATCCCAAAAGGAAAATTTAGTTTAAATGATATTTTTATATATTTGTACGTAGATAATTAATGTGCATACAAATTTTCATTTGGTTTATCATATAACACCAGCGGATCTTACTTTTATTTAGTACCGGTGGAGCTGAAATCTATTTTGTAGATTTAGTATTTTTTGTATGGGTGTACAACAAAATTCCGTCAGCCCTTATATCAGTGAACGGATTCGTGTATGTTTCAATGCACAAAATGGCCTACTTTTTTACACAAGATTTTAATGCAATATTTCCAGATAAATGTTATGTATTTGACTTAAAGTCTGTGGTTATAGACTGTGTACATAATTGCATATCCATAAGTTGACAAAACTCATATACTTATACTTACGTTGTTTTGCCCAATCCTATTACGGCTATATCAAAAATATTAAAATGTATTGAGTTTCTTTTTTAGTATACTTTATATTGTATAAATATTTATTGAGTATTTGTAACAAGAACCAAGATTGGTATCAATTTACATATAATTAATTTGAGTTTATATTACCTACCTAGTTCATAAAATATAATTAAAAACCAATTATGCAATTTATACAATTCGTACAATTTAATTTTGAATTATTAATAATAGTTATTTTTCTTATATTGTGATTATTATGACCAAGATTTTAACTATCAATTTATAATTTAACTACTGAATTAATTTTATTTGTTACCTTTTTTCGCATAAAATGTTCAGTTATTATTAAAAAAACAGAATAAAAAATAATATAGTTTATAGTATTAATAAATGGCAACATTGTACATCAAATCGTATGGAATTTTGACAGTCAATTGTATTAAATTGAGAGTCGTGTTTCTAAAGGGTAAAACTTATGGATTTGAGCTATAGCAAAAAAATTTACGTCCAACTGGAATGTTATAAGCCTGACAATAAAATCACCTGCCTGTAAATCGGTTGAATTCACGTGCACCCTCCCTGTGTCCTATATTATGTTTCATTTTAATGTCGCTGAAATTATATATATTTTATTACTTTTCACTCAGTCACATAATATCATTTGCCTTCTTGAGATTACATCAAAATTCAAAAATGTATTTATTTTCTTTTTGAATGGTCTCCAAACTGTTTAAAATCTCATTTGTAATACTAACCACTTGCTTTGACGTTTTACATTGTTATAATCCTTCTTTGTGTGCATTAAAATCCATCGTCCATGGACGTAATAACAGTGAATTATATTTAAAATAATAAAAACCGTGTGGTACGTAGTTATATTTTCGATCCCAGTGACGCGCATGACGTGTGATAATTTTACAGCCGTACAATAAACATACCGTTTACATACAGTTCGTATCAAATGTCATTCGCCCAATCTTCTGAATTTGCAAAAAAAAAAATACTTGTTATATCCTTGAAGCAACACCCTCCTTTGTTCGACAATCGTACTGCTGCCGCGGCGGACGGTCTCTGGAACAATCTGTATACAATATAATAAGGGTACGAACACTCCGGTGTCCACGATTCACCCTATATAAATTGTATTTCCACCCCCAAAACGATGTACATATATATTGTGCAAAGTTAATATAAACAATATGCATATATACGTTTAGTTGGCATTATTGGCATATTATACATTTCTACGGTATAATATTACAAACCGTAAGTTTGATCTACAAATACCTCATTTTCTGAATAATATTTTGAAATGCGATATGGAAATGTTATTTATGTAATAGAGGAGTACATAATGCATAGATGGTATGATTTTAGTGCTACATCTCTATGATGTGTTGCTATCTGAATATAATATAATGTATAGAAAATTGTTGGTTCTAACCTACGGACAAATTGTATAGTTGTGATCGTATTTCCAAAAATTAGTAGGTATTTGAAGTGTAGTTATAATTATTTTATATTAAGAAAAATTCAAACCTTCTCACAAATACGAAACGTCCGTTTTCTTTTCCATATAATGTTAATGTCAAAAAAATTAATTTAGCTCTTTGGACGTTAAATGTTTGTGTAAAATACTTCAGTCTGTTAAATTGCTTTTTAATTAAAGAAAAGCATTAAATCATTAAAATATTTAATAAAAAAATGTGCCTTCTATAATTATTCACAATTACAAATTCGATCGTTAAAAAATGTGTCAAAACTAATCGGTGTTTATTTTTTAATTTAACTTTTTCGTCTGTTTAGTCTTAAATTCTTGAACTCGTGAAATATAAAATAAATATGAAATCACTTCTGATGGGGCAGTATGAAAACTTTATGATTCAGACCATTATTATAACTTTGCACGTATGTATCTTATATTATAGGTACTGAAAAATTGTCCATATTTACTATTTAGGTTATTTCAACCAACAAAATAAATAACAAAATGGTATAATAATTTAATATATTTGTTTTATATTGGTTTTAGAAAAATAAAATAATCACATGGTAAAACGTAAGAAAATTGTTTTATGTTTTGGATCTATGTAGCGCATTGTGCATTATAATATATATTATGGTGGCGGGTGGGCCCTCACCCCTCATTGAGGATGTATGTATTTAAATGTTAATATGGGAAGACGTCTTGTACCTGCGTTATGACTTATTGGAGGAAGCAAGGAATTTGAAATGAATGGAGTATTTAATCTAGTTCAATGAGTTCATTTGTAACAATAAAAGTGGTCAGTCAGTCGTGGTAGACAGGATGTAAAGTGAATAGAGGAAGTAAACAATATCAATTATTATACTGGGCTAATAAATAGATTTATACCCACAACTGGTAAAAAGTTAAGTATCAATTAATAAATATTTAGGGGGAAATTTAAATTGCTTTAAATGGTGTATTTTGTTTGTAATATAATAATACGATCTAATAAAATTGTATATGTTATTGTAATCCACAATAGTAATAAATTATAATACTTATTGGTGTAAGAAAATATATTACCTTATTTAACTTAACACAATATACAATGTGTTTATTCATAGATTTCTGGTGTAATATTGTGTGCAATAACTATAATACTAATATTATCACGTTTTTGTAATTATTTATCATAATAGGTTTTTATAGCGCACATTTTTATAGTTAATTAGATTCATTGCTAAGCTTATATAGTTATAAATCCATTTCATTCAATTACTACTATTTTTATTGCAATTAAAATAAGTTAGATAAGCACAGTGCTACATTTTTTTAAGAGTTTGAACATCAAATGTAGGTATTCAAAATATGTAATATTTAAACGAAAAATAACACGTTTCAGTGTTTAATTTTGAAATGTAATACTGAAAAGTTTAAAAATAAAAGGGGGAAAGTTGGTGTAACTGCTATATTATTCAGTAGGTGTTGTGTGCGTCTCGTCATTGAGTGAGTGACTGGAAATGTATATTATATTAATTTTGAATTCAATGACAAATCTTTGTATACGAAAAACAAATTTAAGCGAAAACCGTTTGTAAGTCTGTAATACTAAGTATATTTTATGACATATTTATGATATCTATATTGCTACTTAAGTAATTTATTTTTGTCAAAAACATTGCAATTATTATTTTAGTAGTTATAAGTATTAATAATGTATTATATTCTATTGTATTATTGTTATAAACTTTTGAGCCATCACATACTTATTGTAGAACCGTGTAAATAGGTTCTTGGTATAAATAGGCAATAATTATCATGTAATCTTAACGTTTTAAAGATGTCATTGTGTATACCTACAAAATTACTAAAAATCGTCATTTTTTATTTATAATTTAAATATTTAAATTCAACAAAATTTGAAGTTAAAACATCTACCGAAAAAAATTTTTACATTAAAATATTTTAGTTTTATTGGTTTTGGATTTAAAAGCAACTTATGAGCGACTTCGGATTAAAATGTAGAGCTCTAGCACGAAATAATTTTTAAGCTTTCCTGGTTTTAACTCATTTTGTCAAAATTATTTGAATGTCAATTGCTTGAAAAAAAAACCGTGCCTTTAGAATTTAAAATAATTACATTTGAAATGTGATACATTCATACATAGTACATAATAATAAATTTCATAGTCGGACCAATGATGAAAGAATACTAATAAAATAAAATATTTTTCACTTATGCATATTTTTATAATTTATATTGAAGAAAGCAAATTTATATCTGAGTATAGACGTGTATGAAGTATAATGCAAAACTAGAATACCCAGAATTTGAATATATATACCAATCGATACTTTCAATACTTTCGACCTGGTCTGCTATGAATTTTAAAATATGTATAAACTCAATATCATATTGTAATTAATATACAGAAGTGTTTAATACATAATATTAGGTAATGAAACTTTTCTACAACATCTTGTTTTATTTATTTAATCAAAATTGGAGAATTTTCTTATTTTTTTTTAGATTTATAGGTTCCATTTGTGTTAAAAAGTTCTAACATTTTTTTTCGTTTTTCTATTTCATACCAGTGTTGTAGTTCAGTTAGATTTTGGATATGCTCTGCCTCCATTGATACCTTCAAATATTTTAGTTCTCTATCATGTTTTTCTTTTATCGCTCTCAATTCTTTTTCCCAAAAAAGTTTACATTCACATTTTTCTTCCATAAATTCTTCGAACAGTTCACTTCGTGCCAGTTCCATTTGATAATGAAATTCATTCCTCATCTGGTTCTCTCGTTTTTCTGCGGACGTCTTCAAAATATTTTTCAAACTACGAGCAATTTTATTCGAATTGTTTTCGATTTCTTTATTGCATTTTTTCATCATGTTCACTTTAACGCTCTGTTTGGCTTTCTAGAAAGAAAACGAAATATTTGGACATGCACAGTTGATCGCTTGGATGATTTATTTATAGAAATTGTTTGGATTACAGCGATTTTGCAATTATTGAATCGTTCCATGACTTTAGATAAGTTTTCTTCGTATCTCAATCTTTCCGCAGGTCTAATATTCTGGTTCAAAGTGTAATTTTTTTTTTGTATTAACTCTTCAACTTTCTTTTTAAGTACTTCGTTATGTTCTTCATTAATTTTATTTTCAGCTTGACTCTTGAGACGTTCACCGACGACTATAAAAAATGTATGTAAACATTTATTACCCTGTTGAGTACAAAAAAATATTTACGCATTATTAAATTTAAGTATAATGTCATAGTGTCCTCATCATTATCCACTGGTGTCAGTTTTATGTTGCCGGATAGCATATTTTTCGGTGTCAACTCAAAATGTAGTGGTACTCTATCGTTTTCCGCCCACCATATCAATTCATCTTTAGGGATCAAGTTGATTACTATGCCTCCAAGAGTGTCACCTAAACACTTCTTGATAGTTTGAGGATGTTGTTCTATATTGTTTTCCATTGCCTTTCTTTTTTCAATTTCGTTATGCGACCTTACTGCCAGTTTTGTAAATGCACATACAATTTTGTATTTAGTTTAATAATATTATTATACATTGTATTCTTACATGTTTTTAATAGATTCTGAATAGCTTCATCGCCGTAATTTGTGGCACTTTTCTTCGAGATATCAGGACTCATATTTGACCGAAAAAAAGTTGAAGTTTTAGTCTAGTTTAGTTTATTCAACTTTTTTACATTTTTAAATCTCTGTAGACATATTGAAAAGTTGGACACATCCCGTAGCAATAATATAAATAAAAATAATAAATATTTCATGAACAAATACATACTTTCTGTAACCATGTTAATAAGATACAAATTTTAAATATATAATTGCTTACAAATTCAATTTATAACTTTTTTATAAGAATTATTCAGATGATATATTATGCAGAATAGGTACAAGTCTATAAAATGGACTATTTGATCGAAATCTGACCATAAAAACTGTTTCAATAAAAAACAATGATTTTCTTTTATTATTTAAACTAGTTGGGTTACTGCTTTTTTATACTTGGTATATTGGGTACCCGACATCGGCCGGTGAGATTTAAAAAATAGTTTTAATGTTTTATTTTTTTGGACAGCTTGTGGCACCACTGTTGTATTCCTATTATCTTATTTTACCTTACTGAAGAGCGACATATTATGTGTAATATTTTTTTATAAAAAATTTCATGCATATTAACTATTAATATATAGATAGTAAAATCAAATGTTAGTGTAGCACTTTCACAATATATTTAATAATATAAATCGAAATGATATGATTAATGAGACTAATCGATGGAACCCTTAAAATAATTTTTCATCACATTACTTTAGATTCTCAGAAGAGTGATGATTGGTTTTACAATAATGTGTGTGTTTATTTAGTTTCTAACAAAATTTGCAGTAATTGATGTAATAAATTGACTATCATTAACCAACATAATATAGGTAAATTGTAGTACAAAAACGTTTATTTAGTTATTGTATAAATCGACGTGTAAAGGATATAGGATATCACGAAATTTCAAATGAATAAAAAAATTTTAAGTTATGTTCGATGTTCCACAGGTATCGAATTCGTTAAAAATGTCATGTTCTGCATCTGTACCTGCAGATATACAATGAAAACTGTACATTTCAAAAACTTGATTTTTGCTATCTTTCCGCAGCTTTTGTAGTACAGTCTAACTTTACAAACTCCGCCGATAATTGTTGCACGTAAACTGGTATGTTTCCCGAGTGCATTTCGTATAAATGTTTAAGTCACTTCCGTCTTGTACTCTCCATAATAACCACCGACGTCGGTAATATTGATCACGGCAATGAAAATTATGACTGGTAAGACGGTGGAAAATTGTGCATTGTAAAGTGTATATAGGTATATAGCTAGTTAAAATATCAGTGTACATAAAAATACATTTGAAATATTGAATACATGATGCATTTTTCATTTAGAAATTCTACATGTAGGTACGTGTAGAGAGAAAATAACATTGATGATAATTTTATTAAAATAATGTTTTAATTTTTTAATTTTTTTTTAATTAATGACTAATTTCAAAAAAAAATAATATTTAAATAAGTACTATATTATATTGTAGTTATTTTTTAGCAAATTTTAATGTTTACTTTTTTTTTACCTTAGATTAATGAAGCTACGCCATGTAATATGTAAAACAAATGGGAAGTATTTGAAAATATACATATATTTTATGAGAATATATTTTTTATTTAAATTCCCAATGGAAAATATATATTTAAATAATTAATAACACACTATTTTATTCAAGTAATTAAAAACTTATTTAAAATACTTTAAAAAAAATATTTTAGACAATTATATGTGTAATATGGGAAAGGGTAGGTACAATTGTATTAAAAAAGTAGTTTCAAATGTATTGCCACCTCAACTACCCAGAAGAAAGAGATAAGCTGACAACTGATAGAGCTATCATACAAGTGGTATTTTACAAGTTAGCAGATAGCTCTTGTAGGTGTTAGACCGACTTCGAACATTTACCGTAGGTATACGAAATCACAGTGGAAGGTATGAATTAATAGATTTGCCACCTGTAACGCTACCGCCGTCGGCGAGGGAGTAAAGTAAATAATATTATCAACTAGTAACATTAAAAATGTATTAAAAAAAAAAAAAACAAAATAAAAAAAATATTAAATAGGTATATTATTGAGATGTTTGGAATTAAAACTAAAATATATAGACATTGCATCTATCATAGGAGTCTGCAGTTTATTTTACATATGAATATATTATAATCGGTACCTATATTATGGTTTGGTACCTGAATAAGCAAAATTTATGAATTCGACAAAGACATTATATATACCATTCAGTATGCACACATAATCTTAAATAAAATCACACCGATGATTTTTTTGTTGCAAAAGCGTAATCTTAAATGTAAATTTTGTGTTTATTTAAAAATGGGCTTAGAAATTGTATAATGTAACATTTAAATAATTATATATTTTTCTCATTTCTCATTAGACTATAATATGACGCATATGATTTAATTTCTGTGAACTCGTGACATTTTGACCCCATGTTATGTATAATAGTAGATCTTTGTTCCATGTTTCGGTGAAATAGTCATATTTTAATATATTATGTACCTATGTAATGATCGTTTTACTAAGCATAATAATATTATAAAGAAAACATGGGATTTATGCCAAAATGGAATCAATGTTTAATAATATACCATAATAATAAGCAATGACAAACATGACAATCATAATAAACAGTTATTAATTAATTTAGTAGATACTCCGTAAAATTGGTAACTCAACAATTTTGTACGTTTTCCTACACACACGATTTCAATTCGCAACAGACAAATTGAGTCCCAAGATCTCTTTTTTTAATACAAATTGATAATATTTAACAACTACACTAATTACGTCGGATGTAAACTCATTATTTTCCTTCCCATTTACAGACTTTGGACTATCGATAGCAACATTAAATATTATATTGATAAAGATAGATTAACAATACTGTTTTCGTCGTCAAATATAAAAATGAAAGAATAAGTTAAAATAATAATAGCAAACATTTAGTCTTAAACAAATTACAATTTTCCCAGTAACTCTAAACAATAAAATCATTCCTCAAACATCTAACGTACGTTACCTAGGATTAATACTAGTTGAACGTTTAACCTGAGCCGGGCACTTAAAAAAAAACGAATCCAATTAAACATCAGATGAAAGTCCCTCCATATGCTCCTTGGTACAAACTCCACGATTAGCCTAAAAACAAAATCCTTAAATGTAAAACTCTGCTAAAACCGATGTGGGCATATGGAATGCAACTTTGGGGTTCTGCTTAGAAGTCAAATATTAATAAAATACAACGTTTTCAATCTATGACATTACGAATGATTACAAAAGCACCTTTTTACATCTCAAATCACACACTTCACACTGATTTAAACATCCAGATAATATTATGTATAAATAAACCACAACAATTAAAAAAAAATTAAGAATAATAACTGAGCTGATATGCGTACGTCGTTGAATAATTGTAATTGTATAAAATAATTTTCAGATAAAAATGGTTCCCCGTAGCACGATTAGATTAAATTTAATAACTCCCAGCTGGTATTCAGAGTTCCGTCCCATAATCACCTTTTTAATGGTGTTGGCATATTGCTACCCACCAGTTTGTGGCTCAAGATTTGAACATGGAAATTATTTAATTAATTCTGTTAATGTACCTACATACTAAACTGATCATTCGAATGTTAATTATTAGGGTTTCAGTCCTCAGACACGTTGATAAGAATGCGGTCAAGCATGATTATCATCATCATCAATATTCAGTACGACATATAGGACTAAGATTTCGGCGACCACGAAATATGCACCGGATTTAAACACTGTCTCTAATACCCAAATCGAATCAAGGGACCCTAATAATCATTGCAATCAATTTGGAGTCGAGAATAATTATAATAGTAATGGCAGTCTTGAAACTTTGTATAGTAAGTAATATGTTTCACTCGATTACAGCTGTAAGACCGTTATATTTGTTGTTCCAGTAAGTATTAGCTTCACTCTTTAATGTGCTAATAAGATTTATTTGTTGTAATTATAATAGACGTGTTCATCAAAAAGTAAATCGTACGTAATCAGGTTGTAGTGTTCTACTCGTTATCGTAAAATTTGACTTATAATAATACTTTTTCTCAACTGTTTATCAGCTCCCAGCGTACATCGTGGTGCGTGCAACGACCGATTACAACTCTATAATATTATATCTCATTTTTTATCATTTATACACGAACAATATTAGAATATTATAAATAAAATGAGCCCGTTGAAAGTTATCAACTGTAGTTGATGTAAATGGTACTATACCCAGGAGAAAGGCAACCGACAAATTTACATAAAATTTACATGAAATCGTAATAATTCAACAAACTGAGAGATTTATAGATTATGGGTTGTTTTCATATTTAATTAATGTAAACTAATTATTGATTCATAGTGTATTATTTTTGTAGTACGATACCTCGATTATTGGTATAACGTACTAACTCGATGAAATACGGTTGTGCCCATCTTACATTTTTACATGCAAAGTCGCTCAGTGAAATATACAGGGCATGGCGTTTTCCTTGTAACCATTTTCCTTTCCAATTTTAAAGGTTTATGGCTGACAACAAACATTTAAACTGTTGCCTTGGTTAAAAATAATTTTTTGTTGAGACATTTGCACACAATTTACAACAATTAATACATACAAGATAAAACTACAAAATACATTTTAATTATATTTTTGTCTAAATATATACAAGTAATAGTTACATAAAATAACTCAATAAAATTACCAAAATTAAGAATTACAATGTTATGGCAGACAATTGTGGTCCCATTACTTTTAAACATCCTAGTTTAGATATTATTTGAAAATATAATGTTCATTATGACTTATTTCTACCGCCTTATCTTAATGCCTCTAGTAAGGTTATCGTAGAATAAATTAAATTAGAAAAAAGTTAATGTACAATCATTAAATAATCTCAGTGTCGGTCGATGTTTTAAGTATTTACAGATTATAAAATTCAAGCTAATTATGTTTTAAAGCATTTATATAGGTCATAAAAATGTTCAAATAA